AATGCTCTGAGGGAAGGAGGTTGTTCCTTATAATCTCGCAATACATTCCGCTGGTCATCCTCTCCTTGATAAAATGCAGTCATCCCATCGGAAGTGTGGAAAACACCCACAAAGCATGATGCTACCACCCCCATGCTTTACAGTAGGGATGGTGTTTTTTGGGATAGTACTCACCATTCTTCCTCCTCCAAACATGACTTGTAAAATTAAGACCACAAAGTTTTATTTTGATCTCATCTGACTTTTGCCCATGATTCCTCTGGGTCATCCAAATGGTCATGGGTAAACTTAAGACGGACCTGGACGTGAGCTGATTAAATTAGGAGAAACTTCTGTGCCATGGATGATTTTCAACCATGAAGTCTTAGTGTATTACCAACAGTAACCTTAGAAACGGTGGTCCCAGCTCATTTCAGGTCATGGACCAGCTCCTACTGATCCTAGGATCACTGAGAACCCACGAGGTGAGATCTTGCATGGAGTCGCCGTCCGAGGGAGCTTGACAATAATGTTCAGCTTAATCCTTTTTATAGTAATTGCTCCAACAGTTGATCTTTTTTTTTTTACCAAGTTGCTCAGCAATTGCCCCGTAGCCCTTTCCAGCCTTGTGGGAGTCTACAGTCATGGCCAAAAGATTTGAGAATGATTCAAATGTTAATATTTTAAAAAAAGCTACTGCTTCAGTTTTTATAACGGCAATTTGCATATACTACAAAATGTTATAAAGAGTGATCACCGTAACAGCAATTAATTGCAAAGTCAATATTTGCCTATAAAATGCTTTATCCCCCAAAACATATTTCGACATCATTGCAGCCCTGCCTTAAAAGGACCAGCTAACATCATTTCAGTGATTGCTCCATCAACGCAGGTGTGGTTGGTGATGACAGGGCTGGAGATCAATCTGTCATGATTAAGTAAGAATGACACCACTGGACACTTTAAAAAAAGGCTGGTGCTTGGCATCATTGCTTCTCTTCTGTTAACCATGGTTATCTGTAAAGAAACATGTGCAGTCATCATTGCACTGCACAAAAATGGCCTAACAGGAAAGGGAATCGCAGCTAGAAAGATTGCACCTCAGTCAACAATCTATTGCATCATCAAGAACTTGAAGGAGAGAGGTTCCATTGTTGCCAAAAAGGCTCCAGGTCGCCCAAGAAAGACCAGTAAGCGCTGGGACGTCTCTATAAAGTGTTTCAGCTGCGGGATGGGGCTACCAGCAGTGCAGAGCTTGCTCAGGAATGGCAGCAGGCAGGTGTGAGTGCATCTGCACGCACTGTGAGGCGGAGATTCTTGGAGCAAGGCCTGGTCTCAAGGAGGGCAGCAAAGAAGCCACTTCTCTCCAGGAAAAACATTAGGGACAGACTGATATTCTGCAAAAGGTACAGGGAGTGGACTGCTGAGGACTGGGGTAAAGTCATTTTCTCGGATGAATCCCCTTTCCGATTGTTTGGGACATCTGGAAAACGGCTTGTTCAGAGAAGACGAGGTGAGCGCTACCACCAGTCTTGTCTCATGCCAACTGTAAAGCATCCTGAAACCATTCATGGAGGGGGTTGCTTCTCAGCCAAGGGTGTCGACTCTCTCACAGTCTTACCTAAAAACACAGCCATGAATAAAGACTGGTACCAGAATGTCCTCCGAGAGCAACTTCTCCCAACCGTCCAAGAGCAGTTTGGTGATGAACAATGCCTTTTCCAGCATGGTGCAGTACCTTGCCATAAAGCAAAGGTGATATCTAGCTGGCTCAGGGAACAAAACCTAGAGATTTTGGGTCCATGGCCTGGAAACTCCCCTGATCTTAATCCCATTGAAAACTTGTGGTCAATCATCAGGACACGGGTGGACAAAAAGGAAAACCTAGGAATTCTGACAAAATGCAAGCATTAATTGTGCAAGAATGGACTGCTATCAATCAGGATTTGGTCCAGAAGTTGATTGAAAGCATGCCAAGGAGAATTGCAGAGGTCCTGAAGAAGTGGGGTCAATACTGCAAATATTGACTTGCTGCATTAACTCATTCTGTCATTAAAAGCTTTGTTACTCATAATATGATTGCAATTGTATTTCTGTATGTGATGACATCATCTGACATACACACATGAAAACCAGAGGCCAACAGATTATGTGCTAAAATAAAATATTTGTCTCATTCTCAATACTTTTGGCCATGACTGTACAATTCTGTCTCTGGTGTCTTTGGACAGCTCTTTGGTCTTAGCCATGTATGTGGCTGTCATACTGATTCTGCCGGATGGACAGTTGTCTTTCTGCAGATAAAAATCTCAACCAGGTTCATCTAATTTAGAATAACAAGTGGATTATAGGTGGACTTCTTAGAGGTGGACTAAGGCTTTATAAACACTGCAGCCTAAAGTTGTTTTTTTTACACATATGTAACCTATAACAGATTTTTTTCATTACAGTCTGAACAACGTAGATCCAGTTTTTTTTTTTTCAAATGCAACCTAGACGACTTAGCTAGGTGCTCCTAAATCAGATACGTATCAGAATTATTTTCAAATGCGACCTGTGTCTGAACGGCCAGTTTGCATTCATCCAACCTGAACATCATTAATATTCAACAAAGCTAACTGTTCTGTATCTTGCAAAGCAGAAGCCGCAATGAAAACAACCATGGCAGACAGCAATACGGAGAGTTTTGATCTTCTTGAAAGGTTTACTTTCTTAATGCGCTAACTCCGCTTGGAAAAATAAATGAAAGTTTTCTGGATGCACTCCTGCAGTACCATCCATGTTTACTTGCATAAACACAGAGCAGGCTCGCTATTTGTGACGTCATTGCGTGCTGCATTGCGCATGCTTGACAATTAGGCTGTTTTAATACAGTTCACACAGTAGATCACATACTGTACAAGTTGCACATATTTAGAAATGTGAACGGCCCCTAAAACAATCAGATTTCACAAAGAAGAATCAGAATTGAGCATTAATGCCTGCAGTCTGAATGTACCCTAACAGATCTTTGAGAGCCAGAAATTTTGCTGATTGGCAGGTGCTGAAATATTTCTAGCAGAAATATAACAGATATACAAATACGTATATTCCTCAGTACAATTAGTTTATATCAAGGTCACCTAATTTGGCTAGCACATGACATTTTCTCATGCCTGACAGGAAGGGCAGTGGCATTTATTAATGCTAATACATACCAAAAAAGAGTATTTTTAAAATGTGTTCATTACTTTTAAGTTCAATATAAGTTTTTTTAGGTTGCAAGGACATGTTCATATCCTTGCTTCTTACCGTACTGTAATTGTGTAACCTCATTGTCGATCAAAATGTGTTTCAGGTGTTTGTACCAAAAAATTTTTATACCTTACCATAGTGTATGTGTGAATATAAAATGATTTCTTGTTCAAGTATTTTTTATCTTGGTAAAATAAACAAGAAAGGAACTGCCCCTTAGTAACAAAGATAGACACTGTGAGGAAACAGAGGCTTACTTCAAGGTGTGCTATTTTACACTTCTAGCAGCTGTCTGTTCTCTTCCGTTAAAGCCTGCTTCTAAGGTATGTTGACACAATAAAATATTTGTTTTAACTTAAACTAAATGAGAACATTCAGGTGTTCCGGTCAGAGGTTGGTATAAAGTCAAGAGATCACAGACCGCCTGAGTGTTGTTGTTGACCATGTCCAGGTATTTTAATCTGTTTGATTAAATGACATTGACAGAATATCATTCTGTCAGGGTTTTCTATGGAAATAATAGATCTTGGACTGATTATTTAGAATCATTATGATTCTTTATCTTAATGTTCTTTATTGGTTTCTGTTGCCAAGATCTAAATCCCATAGAGCGCCTTTGTGCTCTATAGGCACAAAGGCGTGGAGAGAGATCCTCAGTATTGTCCAGAATCTCTGAGGATATGTTCTGACATCGTTTTGAAACTATAATTGTTGTGCAATAATCATATATTTTTTTGCCAGCAGGTTTCAACATTTTTAGTTAATGTAGGTATTTATAAACCATAGTTCATTAAGAAAATGTTTTAGTGGAGTAATAATGATGAGAGCCTGCTCTCTTCGCTGCTCTTTGTAAAATCTGTGTAGTTTAAACGCTTTTCTATATCTTTATTTTTCATAGGCAGATAGCTCTGCAAAAGCTTTAACTGCTTGCAAATAGTGTTTGTTTCCCAGACAACCCATATATTAGCTTCTTTAATTGGTTGTTGCATCGCGTCAAGCTGTAAAAGTTCAGGTTTCTGAATTCCAGCATTAGACGCTGAATGTTCAGATGCTCTGATACTCCGAAAGCTTGAGTGCAAAAGGAGAATGAGACTCTCCTTTGTAATTTAAGCTAGGGTTCATAAGGGTAAACACATCATTTCAGTACATTAGTCACACGCTCATTGAAATACCTTCAGTGTCAAAGTGGAGGAATGGTGGCCACCTATTTTAACTAAGGCTTCAGTTTCCAGACTTGTTCAGGCAGATCTCTGCTATGTTTCAACCACAGCATTGCATCATTTTTTCATCAGAATTGCAGTAGTTTACTTCGTTTTAGCAAATATTTCTATTCCTGTCTAATAGTGTGGAATCAATGATGTGCTTTATAACCTTTAATGTCAGATTTTAGTATGTTCTAGAATCTGCTTTAAGACCAAATCAGTGTCATTTTGTCTGATATGTTATTTCAACTTTTTTTATTGGCAACATTCAACAAGGATTCTATATGAAGTTGATGGACTGATCACATCTCAAGGCCTTATTAGAGGCTTAGGAAAGGATTTAATTTATGAAAGGGCAAAGAAAACAATGAAAGTCAACCAGAAGATGTTGGGTATAACTCAACTGTTGTGAGTTTTTTGTCAAAGTATACAGAGAGGAAATGAAAGCACTCTAATAGAATGGTAGATAATATACATAAAGTTACATTGATCTATTTCTTTGCTTTTTACAGGTGCAGCAGTTGTGGTCCAAACCCAGCTGAATGTCTTAGCAGCAGAGGGTGAAGATGCTCCTCTCAGCTGTCAGCTCCTGGAAACTAAAGGTGTCCTGCAGGTCACCTGGCAGAGGGTCTTTGGGAGCAAAGAGAGGAATATCTGCTCCTATAGCGAGTATTATGGTCAAACAGTGAATCCTGACTTTAAAGATAAAGTCCAGTTTACAGAAGCTGGACTGAAGAATTCCTCCATAGTTATCAGGAAGGTTACAGAGCAGGATGAAGGATGTTATCTCTGTTTGTTCAACATCTACCCTGATGGAGCACTGATAGGGAGAACCTGCCTGAATGTTTATGGTAAGAACCAGACTGTATTCCAGGATTAACTTCTTTAACTAGATGTTGATCATGATGTTTATTCTCCTCTCAGAGCTGCATGAACCCATCCTTGATGTCAGCAGATCAGAGTCTCCTGCAGAATCAGTTGTGTCCTGTTCAGCCACAGGTCGACCTGCTCCCACTGTAACACTGACTGTTCTACAGCAGAACCTCAGCTTCTCCCACTACAACAGCAGCAGTG